TTCTTTTGAGTGGTGATAAATGTTGTTACTCCACTTTAATGCATTGACATCAACAACCACCCCGGGTTCTTGGAATTGAAATATGTTTTTATAATTGTTAAAATAAGTATCATTTTCTTCATAAACAGGAGTTTCAAGAATTGTATTAAAATTGAAAGGTGTAATAAAATCATACTTTGTTTTTTCATGAAATAATTGTTCATCTTTTTGTATAGTGGTTGTGACTCGTTGAAGTTTTCCTTTATCATAAAAAATAAGGATGATCTTTCATGTATAGTTAAATGAAAAATAATTTGATTAGAATCGTAGTTGGGTTTTTATACATTAAAATATAAATTAATCTATTCTTATAACATACACTGTTTTCTACACACTTTGAAACCAAAAATTAAAAAAGTGGTTTTATATATTTATTAATTTCAATTAAAACTATTATTATAAAATGATATAAATTTTTGTTTAAAAATCGGGAAATCTCCCTATTCAAATAACACAAATTGCATCACCAGCTTTAATATGGTTGGTTAAATTTTAATTAATGGACGGGATGCTTAATTGCATCATGACGTGGCACCGACTTGTATTCATTGGGAAATCGCTTGTCTATAAGTTATTTTGTTGCCACAAATTCGGGAATATCACCCCAATATTTTTAATACAAGGCTGGATATTTTACTAAATAATAAAAAACACAAATATAACAAAAAATACAATTTAAAAAACATTAAAATTGTGTGTTAATTTTAAACTTTATTTTTAATTGACAAAATTGTACACTAAAACAATTTTAATTAAAAAGCTAATTTTGGCTTATCGATAACTAATGGAAAAGGTATATTAATTTTGTTTTTGAATAAATTATTAACATGAATTAAAATTAAAATAAACTTTACAAATTGATAAAATAATCATGATAATTGTGTTTTAAAACATAAAATCAATTTACTTATTACAGTCAAAGGTGTCTAATTGTCGTGAATCCAGCAGAAAAACACCTCTATTTGTTGTAAATGAGTGCATTTTGTAATTTTTTTATATTGAAATTTATTTTTTTAATAAATTTAGTTTTTAATTCAACAAAAGTTACAGATTCGAGAACAAAATAGTTAATTGTCGTAAACCCAAATGATTGGTGTTGTGCGACAATAAAGCAACTTCGACAATTAATATTACGACAAATAGACGCTTTTGACTGTATACGTTTTTATTTAAATTAGAATTATAATAATGTTAAATATTAAATTTTTTCTAATTATTTACAACGAAATCAATTGTTTAAAGTTTTTAAACTTAAAAAAGAATTATTTTTTTTAATATGATAATGTTGTTTTTAAATAAATTATTTTGTTTGAATAAAATCAAAAGAAAATAAATGAAATTTGGATATTTTGTAAATTTAATAATTATTTTAAATTAAATTGTTTTTTTCATAACAAAAAAAAATTTATTTAATTGAACCTGTTTTGTTTGTGAATTATTGATATAAATACATAAAAAAACATCGTTTTTATTTAAAATTGTTTTTGCTTTAATCTTTTTTTTTCTTTAAACTCTTAAATCAAGTTCTGTGTAATTTTCGTGATAAATGTGTCGTCCATTTCACCGCGACCTCAGAAATACATCGCAACATTATTTTTTTACATCAACGTTTTGCGAGTTCACTAAATGCAAAAATATTTCCTAACAAAGCGACAACGCACTTTGTTCATTGACTATACAAAATATAATATTTTTTATTATTTAATTAATTTCATATTATTAGTTTGATTTTTAGTTTGAAACAAATTGATACTATTTTTTTATTTAACAAATGAAAAACTTGAACTAAGTACTTGTTATAAATACTCAACAGCATCATCAAATGCAATCCACATATGGGTGGAAACTTATTTGTAACTCAAGTTTACATTTTCTAAAATTAGATATTTTTCATTGAATGTTCTTACTACAAATTGCAATGTAACTGATTGATTTTGGTGGAACATGATAAGGTCAATAAGTGATGTTAACAAGTCTATTTAACGATTTTGGTAAATAAAACAGAACAACAAAGGGTTAATAAGACGATGTGAATCAACGACAAATATTATAAACTTACTTATTTATGTATTTTTCTGCACTTGGCGGGCAATTGTTCATTTTGATAATTTAATATTATGGTTTGTTATCCTATAATTATTTTTTTAAAAAAAAATAAGTGGTCGATTAATGAAATAATAACATCTTGAATAACATTGAACAAAATTCAAGTGGTCTAAAAATCGGGAAATCTCGAAATTATTAAATATTTTTTTCGTTTTTTAGAGCTTATATTATGTGCATAAAAAATACACAAGCAAAAAAAGGAAATTCATCAAAAATTTGATTAATATCCCTTTAAAAACAGGTAAATTAAAAACAAAAAGGCTGTTTTAAGTGTTAAATTAAAAAACAATTTATTAAAGTCGTTTATTTTTATGTAAAAATAGAGTTTATTTACTGTACTAATAATTTAATTTATAGTAAAATATAGTTTATATACTAATAATTGTAAAACACACGAATCAAATGTTTTAAACATCAAGATATCCAAGTTGCTTGATGATGGCGTATTGTTCTGGCACTTCACAAAGTGCTGCTGTAGCAAATGCAATGTCCGGGTTTTCGACGTGTCCTTCGCACACCTTGTAATAATTCACAAAATTGAAGTTATCAAATTTGGCATTTTTGACTTGCTTGTTATAAGTTTCTATTTTATATACTTTATTTTATTATTAGATATTAACAAATCATAATAATTGAAATTATTCATAACATTAAACAGTACTATTTTACAAATAATATATAATATTTATATGATAAAACAACACTGTTGTTGTGCTTATTAATATGTTACTCAAATTTAAATAGTTCAAAGATACTGTTTTAATGTTAAATAATAATGGATTTTGACTTTTTATATGAAATTAAAATTGTAATACTATAATAATACTATAATAATACTATAATAATAAATATATGAAACTCTATACAAAATACCATCAACAAACATCATCGAAAGATTCCATAGTATCAAATGGACCATCACCGACACCAACACAAATAATTGACAATGGGTATTTTGACGCCTCTTCAATTGCTCTTCTGTTAGGTCCGACTTCACTTACTGCGCCATCGCAAATAATAACGAGGATATGGTACTGCTTAGTTTCTTTAACAATTTCAATTGCCTTGTTGATAGTAGCAACAAAAGAAGTTGGTCCACTGAGTGTGATGGTAGGCACTACTGCTTTATATCTCTCAAGAGCAGCGGCTATACCAAAGAATGGCTTTTTCTCTTCAGACAAGTCGAAGACTGCTCTGTCACCCGTTGTTTTATCACCAAAGCCATACACGGGAATAAGTCTGTCGTCGTCGAACTTCTCTAAAGTCCTTCCCATGATGTCCATAACTCTCATATATGGATTTGGGTTTGAAGGGTCAATTGTGTGAAGATTTCTTCCATAAGTTCTCTTTCCAGAAGATTGGTTGGACCCAGTAAAGTCGATTGATATAATTAGGTTGGAAGACTCTAAACCAGTTTTTTGAAGGGCTTCTTGGAGTGCTTCAACTGATTCGTATGTTGTTAAAATAGGTTGTGTGAGGCGTTTTTTTTGTTGTGATGATGGATCGTTTCCCATTGTTTTTTTGGTTTTTAAGATCGACAATTCGCTTTATATTTAAAATGTCGAAAAATTATTTTTTGATAATTTTTAATAAAAATTTAATATGAAGTATCATTTTTATCTTTTCGACCAAAAAATTGAATGAAGAAATTTGAAAGAGGGAATTGCTTATTTTACTCTTGTTAACCTCTTTTTGGAAAAGTAACTATAAATATAGTTTAAATTTTTATATTTTTTAAATAATATTTAAAAAAAAATCACTTTAATTTAATTTAGTTTTTTCAAATTAAATTAACTTATCATTATATTGTTAAAAAAAATTAAATCATATACAGGTATGGTAAAAACCCATACAAAATAGTTTTATTTGAACAGTTGGTTATTTTCCTCTACACCAAATTTACATTTAACAAAATCTAAATATATAAAAATCCATTATAGTCAGTCTGAAAACGTTGTCCGCTCTCCAACGTTGTCCAGGCATTTTTGGACCATCAAAACTGAAATATTTCAATCATTCTAGTTAAATAAGACAGAACAAAAAAATCAAAACGACTGAAATAGGTGTTTGCAGCAAAGACTCCTCATGAGGAGCGCTAAGTAGTGAATCACCCGGGTTCTTTATAAGCAAGTATTTGAACGAACATTACCAACACGTGTAATTGCTCAACAAAATACACAAAGACCCATTTAAGTCACTTCTTCTTATCCAAGTCACGACTTAGTCGACAGAAAAGGAGAGAAAATGGGATCAAAAGTTTAAAGGTCAAATGCCCTTTTTTTCACAAGTCTCAACTCCTTTTCGATCCACATGATTCACCCCTCAATACTTTCAACAGATCACTCAGTTGAGAGTCCCTAAAGTCTTGTACTACTCAAATAAAATTTATTCTATAATGGATTTTAATAGTAAAGTCTGTGTTTGTGTTGTGTCCTTGTATATTCCATTCTCCACATTAAAAAACACAATTTTTATAATAAAATAAAACTACTAACTAATTATTAATTATATTAAATTGAATATAAACATAATCACCTAACAAAAGAAAACTATAACTATGATCGTTTATAAACTTATTTGTATTGTTTATGTTAATACATTGATTAATAGTGATTAATAATAACTTTTGATAAAAAGTATTCGTTGATTAAAGTCAACGTAGAGAGAGTCCAATTAAATTTTTAAATAAGCTGAGAATATGATTTGTTGTGAATAAGAATTTTAACAATTTTACTCAAATTGTTAAATTTATAAATAGAGATATAATCTGACATTTGTTTTGTTTTTTCTGTGGTTTTTATAAATAATATTTTTTAATTAATAAAAAAGTGATTATTTGTCATAATGATTTTTAAACACAACAAAAGCTTTTAAAACAAATGTAAAAATAGTAAAAAATCAATTCAAAGGATGTTTTGTTTATTAAGAATATATGATATTTTTAATTTGGTTTTTTTAAAAATATTTCAATATTTCTTGTTTTTTTAAATAACAGTTAAATATTAATAAAAATATAAAAACAACAAAACGCCATTTCAATGTTAATATAAAAATGCTTTTGTAAATCGTTAAATATAATAGCAAACATATTGAAAATCATTAAACATACTTCAATTAATTAAATCATAAAATCAACATCGTGTTTTATTTTAAATAAACAATTTTATTTGTATTTTTAATCAAAAATTTGACTGTTATTTAAACAATTTAAATAAAAATATATAATTATAAAAATTATACATTATAACATTGTTTGTAAATTTGAAAAATAGAAAATACGATTATAATTAAATGTTGTTTGGAGTTAGTTTTTGAATATAAAATACATATAATTTGTGCGCATTCAATGCATTATAAACCCTCAAAAAAGTCAAAAAATGCATAAACGATCCAATGTGTTTGTATTTCAACGTTGTGTTAATAACTTATCGTATTTTTTATCGTAAAGAAACACAATGATTAAAAAACAACGAACAATTTAATATTTAAACACAAATTTCATATTCAATCACAATGAAATGCAAGGTTGTTTCTTTTTCTTTATTATACCACATATATTTCAATCCAATAAAACAATATTTAATCAAACAGATGCCGGCTTGGATTCAAGTCGGCAAAAGGCCCCTGTGTTCTACAGTCCATGTCCACCGATACCCTGTGTCTCCAAATTCCCTAGTCCCGATCCCGAATGTAGCAAACAGTTAGTTGTCAAGATATCCCAATGTCTAGTTGATGTACTCACAGCAGTCAGATTAATTCAAGAAGTGGAAGAAGCGTCTAATCTCGGGTTAAATTACAACGAATCAAAGTACTACTTCTTGGAAATCAACAAGGAAATTGCCAAACTTGCCGCATTGACATCGAGAAAACAACCAAAAGGGAATTAAACCAGAGTGAAACAAATTTCGCTCATTTCTACCTACATGTCAGGAGTATTCTTTGCACATAACGATAGCATGTAGCGTTTGAGGAAGAAGTTGAGTGGAAAACAACAGTGTGTTTGGGGAAAGATGTCTTCTGTCGACTCTGTTGAGGAAGTTGTTAAGCAGTTAGTGGGAATTAAAAAAACATTGCTCTTCTCTTGTATGACAGACAAGTTTGGCGAATTTGTGAAAGAGAAGGTGGAAATGAGACTGAAGTCAATTTCTATGTCGCTGCCAACTAACAGATGTATGAACCTAAGATACAATTTGGAAAAAATGTATCTTGGGACTCCTTCTGGTGTCACTCCCACTCGATAACAAAAACTTGAAAACGTGATTTAATTACGATTAAAGGAAGACTTGAGACAGCAAAGAACTCAATAGAGGCGTATATTTATTCTGTCGTTTAAAATGTTATTGGGATATTTTTCAATTAAACACAAGTTTTAAGAATCAAAATTGTTTAAAAAAAGAAAAGCAACACTCAATGTAACAACTGACCCGGATTTAAAGACGCCTTAAATTTGGGTCTAAGGCGTATAAATTCAACACCCAAAGCTGTAAAACTTTCGAAAGATCGTTTAATTAACACTGAGAAGCTGTTATGTTGAAATTTATGTCTTTTTCATTCTTTTTATTTTGTTGGTATTTCAAACACACCTCATTTTAAGTATAAAATTGATTTAATAATTTTCACATCCTTGGTTGATAAATGTCAACAAATTTTAATGAATTTTTATATAATATATCATAAAAGTTAAACTCAAGCAACAAACAAATATTTCTAACTTGACTTATTACTAATTTATAATTTTTAATTTCTAATTCCTTATTATTTATTATTTAAAAGTAACTCTAATTAATAACAATTGTAATCAAAGAAAACACCTATATTCTTAAAATAAAAAATTTAAAATTAAATGTGAAACTTTAACAAAAAGTTTTAAAAACTATTGATGATAATGCAACAATTTGTTTTCTTATTATAATTTCTACACTTATTCCAAAAGGAACCTTTTATTGTTTTTAAATTTTGTATACTATTATTAAATTAAAACAAAACCAGCCTCTTATGATAAACTTAATCAACAATTTTCAAAACAATCAATGTGTACAAAAATGTTTAGAAAAACAAAAAATACCAACTTTGTTCTTTTGATCAATAAAATCAAAATAAAGTATAAATAACTCTATAAAAATAATTTTATTCTAATAAAAATACTTCTACAAACGAAGTCTGTAAGAAATAATATTATTATTTTATGATTATAATAATAAGACTTTAATTATTATAATTAAATATCTCTTTAAAAGTCTAGCTTAAATATTATAACTATATTATATTATAAATAACCATTTATTATTGGTTTCTATATTTATTATTAAAATTCAAAAAACATCAAGCTAAACAAAAAATTCAATTATAATATCAAAACACTTTTATTTGTAATCAATTCCTAAAATTATACATGTAATACACTAAAGTAACGGCTGTAATGGTTTTTATTATGTTTTCACTTTGACACTTTCACGTGGAGAATAATTCAATTTACTGGTAAATAAATAAGAAACAAGCTGCTTCGAACAATTTTTGCAAATTGTTGGTAACTTGAAAGATGTATCAAGTTCAAATTTGTTGTTTGAACTTGGTTGCCAAGAAATGTTTCTTTTAAGTTTTTGATTATTAAATTAAATTGTATTGATCATTGACCAAATGATTTGTTTTATTTTGATCTCGTTGTCTTTTATGTTTTCTAAATCATCATTATAATTACAAAACAAAGTGCCAATGTCAATAACTGTTTTGGTATAAATTTTGGTGATCTTTTGCGATAAAACTTTGCGCTCGTAATTATACTTGTCATCCATAAGAACTGAATGTCCTTTAATCCATAACAATTTAATTACATAATTATTCAAAATTATTATGACTTTATTTATACCAATAATGTACAGTGGTGGTATAAACCCACTTAATTTGGAATAAACCCACTTAAGTGAGTTAATTTTGTGAAACTTTGGTTTAACTTTAAGCCAAAATAGAAAAAACTAAAGTACCACCCTTTATAAATAGGAAAATAGGTTTGATTGGGTCTTTTTTTTGTTTTTTGAAAAAAAGTCAATTTTGCTCGAGATGAAAAAAAATATTTGAAATGGTTTTTTATTTTAATTAAAATAAACTTAAAATATAGCTTTTGTTTTTTCATAATTCGATTCAAATAGTATTTTCTTTTGACAAAAAAAAGCTCAAAAAAGGTTCAAAAAGTGAAAAAAGAACAATAACGAGCACAATGGACTAGCTTGAAAATAAAAGCCGGTTTGAATTTGTGGTCTTTTTGTGTACATTAGTTCAATGATTGTTTTTGAACAAATAACATTTAAAAATATTTCATAAAAGTTGTTGTTAAGATTCAAAAAAAGATGATAGAAAAATAAAAAAACATAAACAAATGAATAAATAAACGAGAATTCAAACAATAACAAATAAATAACATTAAAGGAACAATTAATGAAAAAACGGGATAATACATAGAATTGAGTTTTTGAGATTGAAATTGAATTTATTATATTTTAATTTAATAAACTTTAAA